CTAAAGAGTCCCATGGCTCTCAGCCTGTCGTCATAAGGTCTGTTTTCCAGACCTCTGATCATGCACGTGGCTCTTCTCTGGACTCTCTGAAGCTTCTCCACATCCTTTTTGAATTGTGGGGCCCAAAACTGGATGCAGTACTCCAGCTATGGCCTCACCAAGGCTGAGTACAAGGTGGAGAGTGATGTCCTGGGATTTGCTTGAGAAGCATCTGTGGATGCAGGGCAGTGTTTTGCTCACTTAACTAGCCACAGCATCACATTGAAGGCTCATGTTCATCTTGTGGTCAATGATGACCCCCAAGTCCCTTTCTTCCATAGTGCTAGTCAGAACAGCACTGCCGAGCCTACAAGGATGCTGCAGGTTTTTCCTCCCAAGGTGGAGAACCTTGCATTTTTCGGTGTTAAACACCATCAGGTTCTCGTCCGCCCATTTCATGAGCCTGTCAAGGTCAGCCTGGATCACCCTTCTGTCCTCAGATGTGGATGCTTTACTCCGGAGTTTGGTGTCATCGGTGAACTTGGCCAGTCTGCTTCTGACTCCAATATCTACATCATTAATGAAGACGTTGAAAAATATGGGTCCAAGGACAGAGCCTTGGGGGACCCCACTGGTCACAGGGCACCATGGTGAGTGACTGCCATTAACCACCACCCTCTGGGTCTGACCACGGAATCAATTCCCCAGCCAGCGGATCGTGGTGGACCCGAGGCCGCATTTGGCTAGTTTTGCCAAGAGGTGATCATGGGATACCAGCTCGAAGGCTTTTTTGAAGTCAAGATGTATGACATCAATCTCCTCTCCCTTGTCCAGGTGATAGATGTATCGCAGCCTCAACGTGACTGAGCATCATAATGCTGTCATAGGAAAAGCAAATGAAAATGTTGGCTGCATAAACAGGAGCATTGCATGTAGGATGTGGAGGTGATTGTATCACTCTACCCAGTGCTAATTAGGTTTCAGCAGAAGTAGCATCATGTTCTGGGCCCTGCTTGATACGGATGTAGAGAAACTGGGGAGGGTCCGGGGCGAGTGACAAAGATGATACAGGGACTGGAAAGCCAACTGTATGCAGAAAGACTAAAGGAATTAGATAGGTTTGGAGAAAAGGAAATCAAAGTGGGACACAACAATAGCTTTCAAATATTTGAAAGGCTCCCATAAAGAGGGAAAAGCATTGTTCTCCTCTGCAATGGAGGCAGGGCAGAGGACAGTGATTTTAAATTGCAATAAAGCAGATTTAGATTAAATCTTAGGAAACCTTCATAAGTGTAAAAACAATAGAATAGTGGAATAAGATGCCTAGGAAAGTTGTGGAATCTCTCTTTCATTGGGCACTTTCAAGAAAAGTCAGGATAAGCTTCTGTCCAAGATAGTTTAGGAAGTGAAAATCCTGGTTCGCTGGAAGGTGTTATACTAAATGGCCCCTGAAGTTCCTTTCAACACTCTAAGATTTTATGAAAGCATCTTTTCCAAAGGCATCCTGGCTGGATTTAACCTCTGCTGTTGGGAGATTGTTTCTATAGGAGTTAATCACTCTCCCTGGGGAGAAAAAAATTGTGCCTTATTTTGAATCTGAATTGAATTTTGAATTTCTTCATTTTGAATCTGTCCAATTTAAACTTTTGGCTGTCAGTTCTTCTTCTGCTTTTGTCTGCTCCATGGTCATCTTGGTATTTTCTCTTATGTACTGTAATCAGGTGACCCCTGAGTCTTCTCTGTAATGGGAGAAATGGAGTGAGCATTAATGTAATATAATACTCTGTAAGGTATTGCCTCAGGCCTGAAAATAATTTGGTGTTGCCTGAAAACACACATATCAGAACTGGATGCAGAATTCCAGTATCATTATCGTCTTTTCATCATCACTGCCTCTTCACAGCGTTACATAGGGGGTGCTGATGTGTAAAGGCACCTCTATAAGCTTCTTGGCTGGTTGGGAAGTAAACTTTTGTCTCTGAGACAGCATCAGAGCTGTGGGACCCTTTGCTTTGGTTCTTATGAATGAGAAAAGCAGAGGCTGAACACTTAATAAACAAATATTTAGAAAAAAATGGTTTTGTGTGTCCACAAAGAAGTCTCTTTGAAGAAGTCTTGGGGGTACAAGAGCATCTGTTGGAAGCCCCAGAGTTGCTATTCTCTGTTTTGGGGGACTTTTTCTTAAGAAATGAAAACTGAACAAATTCATGCACAAAGTGGAATACGTTTAGTTTTCAGCAACCACATTTTTGGTGGTTTGTTAAAACCCTCAACATTTGGGGAGAAAGAGATGAAGACAGAAATATATATTTTCATACTTTCTTCCCGTAAAAAAAAATTGTTTTGCTAACAAGTTCTAGCAGATGCAGTGGGCGTATGTAAACTGGGGGATATATAGGCCTCAAGATCCCATTTTCCTCCTTGAACTGGGAAAAGAACCTGACTCCCTATCACCTCCCTATTGTAATCATGAGTTCATAGTCCTTTTTAATATAGATAGAGTCCTCGTTTCTAATTGGTCATGTGGCTCATGTTTGCAATACATGTGCACAAGAAACTGCATTATCCAGTAAGGTTTTTTTAAGGTAATTTCAGTTCTGTGTCTCTCAGTGTCCTACCTATAGAGATAACAATACCTTACTTACATGCCAAAGGCTTAATTTACTTACATTTGTGAAATGTATCAAGATCTTTGGATGGAAAATACCAAAGGGAAGTTAAAAAACAATACCATTATTGTTATGGGCTTACTGGGTGTAACGGATCTGTAGCCTAGAGCCTATTCAAAATTCCTTCTGAGGTAAAGCCTGCCAAAGATTTAAGGAGTACTAATAAAAGATAGCACATCTACCCAAAGACACTTGCCTGCCTGTGTCCTTAGACCAACACAACTACAACCCCAAACCCTGCAACACAGAAGATACTGACTCTAGATTGAATCCTCTGGTGCAGATTCTGAATGTTTTTTTTAAGGGATTTCCACTGATTTCTGCCTCCCACACTTTTCCTAAGCCCACTCCATAGAAGCCTCTGGTCATAAATTCATTAAAATAATTAAATGGACAGATGACCGATCCAGGAAGTGCAACAGGCTTGTGCTTCCCGCCAATCACAGGGGGAGCGGCTCTCTTCTTTGTCCCACCTCTCTTCCTCCCCGTTTCTCCTTTCTTCTTCCTCTTCCTGGCCTAGCTGCGTGGTGAGTAGCGTGCTACCCTCTTTGATTTGAATCCTTTGCCAATCTAGGTTTAATCGTTGCCATCCACTCATGCTATAGGCCTGTGCTAAGCCAAAGCGAACTACAGGAAGCAGAGAGGCTTGAAGGACATTGGACAAGGGAATGCAAAATGCAGGGAGATCCTTGTGATCAAGCAGTTCAGTTGTGTTTTTGCACCCCGCCCCCCCCGATATTCCTGTTGAGCTCGGAGTGCCGGAGGGAAGCTGATGTGAGCCACGTATTTAGAAACCAGGCCTGTATCAAGCCACGTGCAATACCCTTAATAGAGAATCATGTATCGGGTGCCTGGATTCTCTATAAAGATCTTGTACAATTTTGTAAATATTATTTCTGCATGATTAGGACTAGGCTCCTCCTAAGTGATCTATCTGTGCTGCAGGGCTGAGCAACAAACTCAGGAGTCCGGACTCCCAATTCTGGCCTTTAAAGCACTAGGTGATACTTTTCTAGGAGTCCTGAGAAGGGCTTAAGCTGGAGCAAATAATAGCAGGTGATTTGATGCCACATGTTTGCGCATGTCTCTTTAAGAGGGAGGCACATGGTGGGGGAGGGGGAACAAAGGCTGCCTGTGCATAGGGTTGGGCTGCAAGGAGGTGGGTGCCTCTCTCCGCAGGATCTGTGAGTTGCCCTGGTTCTGGGGTGATACGTGCATTGTAGCTCGGGCTGGGGAGGGGGAAAGCATGAGAGTTGAAGGTCATTACAGGCCTCTGTGTTGCATCCCTGGCCTCCTCTCCCCTTTTCAAATTGTGGGTGCAGTTTAGAGGCCCTGTGCAGGGCTTGCTTCCTGGTGAATGCAAGTTTTAACCTTGGCTGCAACAGACACAAAGCCAGGCAGAAGTGCAGGGAGCTTCAGAGGGCCTTAAAAAGCAGCACGGGCTAAATATAGACATTGGCTTGCTGGCACATGACAGCCATCTGATAGCCCAGCCCTGCATTTTGCATATTGCTATTTTGCATTTCTGTTCTACACAGGAGAGTACAAACACCAGCAGACCCTCTGTACCTGAAGAAGGGTGTTTGTGCCTGAAAGCTGGCCAAGAGCTATGTTTTTCCCCAACTATTTAGTTGGTCTAATAAAAGATATCACATGTATCCAAAGAAGCCTGACTGCCTTAGAAAGACTTTATGGTTGCAAGGGAAAATGTAAATAGCATCTAGCAGCTCTGGGCTGGCACCTAGGGAAGCTCTGGGCCAGATCTGGATTCAGTGGTAGAAGTCTCATCTATTCCTTAATAGTTGTTGTTGCTCCCCTGGTGTCATCCAGGCTCCCTGTTTTAAATAAATAAAGCAGTTTGATTATTAGAGTTGGGGGGGTCCTGAAGTTTTGGCTGGGGTGCTGGTCAGAAAGTGGAGTCTGGCAGGCTTTGAGCAAAGGCTTTTGGGAATTGGGCCTTCTGGATGTTACATGCTTTATTGTCCTCTGACACCCTGGGTGAATTGCTTTGTTTCCATGTACCTGAGTTTCCCAGTTATGTGCAGTAGTGAGTGATTACATATGTAGGTAATTGCATGACTGTAACTATAACAGTATTGCAAGTAATATAATGTATTTATATTTTTTTTCAAGCAAGAAGAGTTGTGTTGCTTGTGAGACTCCATTTGTAAATGTTTATAAACTGCATTGACATCATTGGCTGGGAATTGCTAGAAAAGGAGCAAATCATTCAATATTATTTGAATTGTGGGTTTTTTTGTTTTTTTGTTTTTGTTTTTTGTTTTCCCCTGCTGAACTCTTATTAAATGCCTGGGGGCGACTCAGAAGTTATGAAGCCCCAGTCTGCTACTTATACCACTTTGTAGTATTCTGAAGCTGTTGTAACCCTTAAGACTAAGAAGGGTTTTTAATGATAACTCGGAGGATTTAGGATACAGTGCAGGTGCTGGGTGTATGGTAGGCTACAAACCTCCAGAGGTTCCTTCCCTTGCTCTGGGGATTGGTTCTTCACATGCACCAGAAGGTCAGTACAGGCCTGGAAGAGGTTCCTCTAAGGTTAACTCAGCATTTGGGGGTGGGGGGGAAGCCTTGTCTGGGCATTGAGTATTAGCCCAAGGCAAGTAGCAACTATGGGTCAGTCTCAACCTGGGCTGCGGCTAGGGTGGCTCAAGTGGTTTATGTAGTTGGGGAGAGGGCGCTTGGCCAGGATTTGGCAGGCTTGTGCAGGGGTTCGTCTGAAATTCAAGGTCATCTTAAATTCAGGTAAATGTGGAAGGGGCTTGCATTGTGCAAAATTCTCACTGTGCTGTGTATCACTGCCTCTGGCCTAGTGAATGTCTGGGATTAGCTTTACCAGGTGGGCTTGAACTGCAATTAGAGTGTCTTGTGGTCTGATTTGTTATAGTGTTCATGTGGGTCCAAAATATCTCTAGCGGAAGAAAGTATTATACCTGTATCCCACTCTTGAGTGAGTAATGGGTTGGATAGAAGGCTTCAAGTGGCACCCTCTCCTGCTCAGATGGGTGAGCAAGGTCTGCCAAAGACAGTTCTCTGGAAGGATCCTGAGTGGAGGGAGCACTTTCTGCTGGCCACGGCAGTCTGTTTGTTTGGTACCTTCCCAAGGTGCGCTTAGCCCCTCCTAGCACAGATACCAGAGTGGAGTTGCCAGAAACTTCACGAATGTAAGCATGCCCTGTTGGTTTCCTTGTAACCTGCTACACTAGTAGTTGTTAGTGCAAGTCCTTGGGGAGAGGCAGGATTTGAGATTTGACCTTGGTGATCCTTACTGGCTGGCCTAGGTAGCTCGGCAGTCAGCGTGCTGGCTGTTGTGGAGCCTGGTTTTAGCATCTAAATCTGTTGCTGATCCCACTCAGCAAGCAAGCACCTAAAAGCTAGGTGCTGTAACATTCAGGTCCTTCTGTTTTATCTAGGGCAGTGATTCTCAACCTTTTTAGACTTGAGGCACCCCTCCATAGCTCTTATGAATTGAGTGGAGTGGCACCCTATTTCAAAAACTATCTCTTTGCAGTGCTTATGTGGTTGAGAGGGGCTGGGAAAGGAGGAGCAGCAGCCAGCAGGGAAGAGCCTGCTAGGGGAGGAAGAGTGGGCCCATGGCAGTACCCTGAAAAGGCTATCATGGCACCCTGGTTGAGAGTGACTAGGGACAGATTCAAGAAGAAGTTTAGGTCCCTAAACACACACAGCCATTGATTTCAGTTTCCCCTGTTAGGTCTCAAGGACTTCATATAGTGAGCGAGCCTTAAACATTTGGTTTGAGATTTTCAGAGGAGCCGGCTTGAGTTAAGTAATCTAACCTGCTTCAGCCCTGAGTATTCAAAGCTTTAAGTGAAGGGAACTAGAGGAAGACAGGCCTTATTTTAGCATGGGTTACACTTGAACACGGACCTTTGTTCTCGTGAGCAGAAATTCTAGTTGTAGAAGTATTTATTCTCCTATGGCTGCAGCAGTATGTGGTACAGTGGCCAGGTTTTGGTGTCTACATCCTAAATTCCTATTTGAATTCTTTTCTTTTCAGGTTGGAAATGGAATTTGCATTTAGGAAGAAATGGATGCCTCTGAGAAGCATTATTTTTAAGGCATGGAGACGGATGAGTTGGTGTGAAAGGAAACTCTTAAAGAGAGAGGGGGTTGCAGTTGCATACAGCAGCATCGGGTGTTCGGATCCAGGAGCAATAACAACAGGTTGAACTGGTGCGTGAGCAAAGTCTTTAATTTCAAACTTTGAAAGAGGCCTCCAGTCTCTTCCTGTCTGCCTGACCTGTCTAGTCCTGCTGTACTTTATTCAGTTTGTACACCTATCCCTAGCTAATACAGGAAGAGAGACGTCAGGCCTTCAGCTCTGGCTTTGGAGGGCGTAGCTGATGTTTCCAGCTCTTTTGTTTAATTTATGACAAAGCATGCACATGTGAAAAAGCAGACAAACACTTTTTATTATGCCAAGCCTTGTCCCCACTCTTGAAACAAGTTTGCCTTTTTTAAGGGCTCGCTTCCTGTGAATCTTAGGAGATGACTTTTTTTTTTTACGTAAGCTAGGACACAGGCCAGTTTGAATGAATTTAAAATTAGTATATTAACTTTGATATGCATAGCATTGTAGTAAACAGATTAGTGGGAGTCTCTTACAGAAAACAACAATTGCTGCTGTTTTGTGCTTTTGTGGGGAAAAGAAAATGCTAAAAATAAGGAGTTTTCTGGTCAGCCAAGTTAGCACAACAGTGGTTCTAAACCGGGGTCCCTGCCAAATTCAAAAAAGTTATGGAGGGGTGCCCTGACTTAAAGATTGAGAACTACTGTTTTAGTTCCTCTGTATCTGGGGTCAGTTCATCTCTCTCTCCTTCCAACATGGACTGGATGTTCTTTGCCTTTTGCAGAAGGCCTTAGATTAAAAAAAATAAATAAATCTGCTGACTGTGGACATTAAGAGAGTCAGTGGGATCTTTTGGAAGAGACCCAGACGTATCCAGTTGTCCTTTCTTCTATATTGTCCTCTTTAAATCTTTGTTCCCTTGCATTTCAGAAGTGGTTGCATTTGTTTGGCACTTTTTCCTCCACTGTGTAGTGCTAGCTCTTTCTGTGTGTAGGAAGCTGATCTGTGCTAGAGGATCTAGTTTTGTTGCCTCTAGTAACAACTCTAACTGTTACAGCTGTGAGAGAGAGCACCGTCAGTCATGTGCATATGAGGTCATCTTATATGTCTCTTTTCCTGTTTCAGAGTGTGGAGGGGTTTCTCCCCTTGCTTCTCACCCCTACAAAATAATCAGCACCTTAGTGGGGAGAATGGAGAAACAATTCACAATGGGTCACTTTGAAATTGGTCTGCAATGGCACACACCCTGGATCTTGTAAGCACCTAAAACAAAAGGTAAGAATATTTAATTAGGCAGGGCATTAAAGAAAAAGAACTTGAGTTTCTGTGGCATGCTTGAGTCCAGATAAGGATAAATCTCCTATGCATTCATGGCATGCTTTGATCTTTTTGAGGATTAGAAAGGAAATACCTGCTGATATGGTGACTGGTGAATACAAGGTGCTTGCTTTTTGTTGGTTCAATCATCTTTTCTCTTGTATTGCATTATTACCTTGAAGCCCCAGCTATGTTAAGGAATGTATATGCACACAAGTCTCCTGCCCAGCAGACTCTTTCAGTATTGTCCATTTATATTGTAAAGAATGGGGGGAAAAGAGTGTCAGCATTCCCAATTTTTATATAAGAACAGAGAGAGAGAGAGAGGAAGCTAAACACTTTCAGAGGGACCTAAGGAAATGTGATGCCCAAACTTGTGATCGTATTAAAGTTTCTTGAAGTGATTTGCACACGGAAGGAAAGGAAGCACTAATTTTTGGTGTCTGTTGTACTTTCAGGCATTTCATGGGAGGGGTCAAGATTTAAGCCAAAGGGAGGCCATTAATTTGTTTTGACTTTTCCATACTGTAGGGCATAGACCACCATCCAGTAATCTCTGCTATGCTGTCCTGACTCCTTCCACTTTTAACTCAATCATATCACCGCTAAGTCCTGCACCAGCCCCTCTTAAAAAAGTATAGTGGTATAGATTTAGGCATCTTGCAGTGTCTTCTGGAGCTTTGCTCCAGACTCCTGATGAAGGCTGCCCCCGGTTCCCCCAACGTAACAGTAGGATACCCCTTTACAACTGGGTCATTAGAGGTTGCGAGACCCCTTGCCACATCACTTTTGTGTGCTGTTGGCCATGGAAGCTGGTGTGTGTTTAACCATGCTAACACAGTGGACCTTCTAGAGTCAGGCAGACCGTCCCTATTTACACTAGTCCCTCTCATATCAGTGTCTCCACAGGTAATTTTGCTGTGTCATTAGAAAACCATTGTATGGCCAGTAAATTAAAAAGGCACGTGGGCTTCAAAGGTCAAGACCTGAAGGGATCGTTAGATCGTGTAGTCTTTATAATACAGGTGTCAGAATTTCACCCAGTTACCCTGTGTTGAAACCTGTAACTTGTTTGTTTTAAAGCATACTTTCTATCAAGGTATTAAGTCTTCATTTGAAGGCAAGAACCTAAAAGAATCTTTCACTTCCTTGCTAGTGCTTTCCAGTGGATAATTGCTTCTGGTTAGAAAACTTGAGGCTTACTGACCAATTTGAATTAGTCTGGCTTGAGCCTATGACTGCTTATTATATCTGTGCGTTTTTGTTTGTTTTCCTTTAGTCCCTAGCACTTTTCCACCTATCAAGGTACCTAGACACAGTAATTAAGACCCCACATTCATTTTTTTGATCAACTATACAGATAAATTCCTGTATACAGTTCCTTCAAAAATTATTGTACAGCTAGTCCATTTTTTGCACCTTTTCAGTTCTGCAACTTTCTTTTTAAAATGTGGGTACCAAAACCATATACAATAGTGCTGTGTAAAGTTGCCTTTCTTCTTGTGTCTGTCTGCATCCAAGAATCTGATCTGTCCTCAGGTGCAGTTGGGAAACCAGGGTCTCCCCTGTTTGAACAGGAGGATATTGGGTGAGGAAGAGCTGAAGTTTTCAAGTCTTTGAAATTTCAAATTGTGCATTGGTGGGTTAGATAGATATATGGAAGGGATTCTGCATTGCCACTTGCAGGCCTGGCAGTGGTCTGCTGTGATGAACTGCATGTTCAGTCCGTGTTTCATCTGATCTATCCTGATTACGTGCATGCCCTGAGCAGACAAATTAAGTCAATGCCTGCAAATGAAGTGACTTTTGCTGGGGAGAAGCTGACATTTTGTGGTCTTAAAGAGAACCACCTGTAAAACTTCCAGGCAGGAAATAGCAGATCTGTGGGAAGACTTTTAAATGGAGATCCTGTTTGTATGAAAATAAAGGGGAAAGACAGATATAAGAAAAAAGAAGGTTTCTGTGGAAAGAGTAGATCTTTGAGGTTGTTTTTAATAGGGTCATAATAATTAGAAATGTCCCCTTGTTCTTGTAGGCTAGAGACTCGGAAGACAAGGCTGGATGCTGGATTCACTTCTCACTTTGTGCTCTGGATTTTGTTGGAAAACTTGGATGTAAGTGCTGTGGGGAGTTAGCCTTCAGTTTCATATTGGTTTTTCCCTGCCAACTTGCCCACTGGGGACATGGTAGGGAGAGCCCAGAGTGGCGGTTATGGTGGCAGACGGTTTGCTGCTGACTAATTGCTATCTGACACTTTCAGTGGTTGAGCAATTTTTGGGAATTAACCTTACAAATCTTGCTAGGCTGTGTTTTGATACCAAAAGTTATCACTTTCTTTAGAATGCTGTTTTTTTTGTTTTTTTTTTTTTTTTTTGAGCCTCTTGTAAACTCTGAGGTTTTGTTGAGGACATGCCTTAAAATAAGTTCTCTCTTCTGCAGAAATGCATGCAGCTGTCCTAAGGAGGCCTTCTGCTGTCCTAGTAGCACACAAGGCAAAATCATCCCGATGACCGTTCCTCTTGCTGCCACAAGATATGGGCAGTGGGATTTTGTGTCATCGCAGATTAAACTTGACTTTTCTTCACTTGGGGTGCCTTGGATGGATTGGCTGTCTGTTAGGCCCTCCAAATTTTGCGGGGTCAGACATTCAGAAAGGAGTGGACTACAACTAGGAGGTGGCGGTGGTGATAGAAATGGGATTTTAAAAACAGCTTGCTTTGCACATACTGCTTTCTTTGCTTATGGAGGGGGATCTGGTAACCAGATAGTGAGAGAAGCTTCAACTTTCCAGTGTGAGTGGAAAGACTTGACTCTTCTCAAGATGAGACCTAGGTACCATGCCAGGAGTTCTTAGCATAACTTTGTGATCTGATTACTTATTTTTTCTCCAAATGTGGGAGCTGGGCTATATGGTATGTTCCGCATCTTTAACACCAAGTTATATTTATTTATTTATTTATTTTTTTACAGAAGGATTTGAGATGACATTAAAGAAAATGCATCTTTCTCCTGCAGCATCAGTTGTAAGACAGAAATTTCAGCCTGAAGACTTTTAAGAAGTTCACTCCTTTCAGATCTGTGCTGTAATGGGTCCTTAAAGTAATGCTGAGAATGTATTCAGAAATAAAATAAGTAAAAGGATTTGGAAGACTCAGAAGCCTCCCAAGTAAAAGGATTTTGGAGGTTTGGGTATTACTCTTTGAAAAAAGGAAAGGAAGGAGAAATGGAATCAATTTACTTTGAGTACAGCTGTGGTCAGTAGCGGTCTGGAGTTGGATTTTTTTTTTTTGAGTAGATTAGTAATTAAATACCACACTGTCTTGGTCTCTTGCAAATATCAGACTTAATCCACTGCTACCAGAGATTTTCAGCTGTCCACACTAGAGCGAATAAGGGTTTGACCACATGTCTAAAATGCCATCTCTCTGAAGGTCTCTTAAAATGTCCGTTGACTATATATATTAGTGGGAAGAAGACATGGGCTTAATTTGTATTATTCCTGCTTGTCCAAGTGCCACTCCAATTTCTTTCCTCTGTTTCTGCTCCCCGCCTGATCTGCTGTGCACCATACACAGAGGTTGGCCCTTCCTCATTCACAAATGCTAGAACTAAATTGAGAATCTGGAATTGAGATCAACTAACAGTAGTTGAGTTACCTTGCATCCAGAATTTAATCTGGAAAGTCCACTTCTTATATGGTGTGGGGGTTCACTTTTTTTTTCCCAGTCGACATTTATTTTGGGTTAGGTTGATGTTTTCACATTTGTTTGAAGGAATTTGGTTTTCTTTTCACACCATAAAAAAATAAATCCTTTTTTTCCGGAGGTCTGCCACCACAACCCTGCTACAAGGTGTGACTTGTGCAAATGGATGATAAATGGCTGAAACAACAGGAGACCTGGGAGTGGCGTATGAACAGCATGTAGCAGTACTTGAGGAAATTTAGGTGTGGATCCCTGCAGCTATGTGAAGAAGATGTTGTGCTTTCAGTACAAGTGGCAGCTGCTAATCTGTGCCATTCCCTTCTCATTAAGAGTTTGGCAATCACTTTTGAGTATCTAACAGTAATAATAAGCAACACTATATTTCTACCATTTAAGCGTGATGAGCCTCAAGGTGCGGGTCTCCAAATAAAAGCATTTTCTGAAGATCTACTGCTGTTCTTTAATACTTACGGGTGGGGGAAGAAGGGTTTCTGGCACGGCTGCGCTTTTCAAACATGTTCTGAATCTTTTTGTTTTTAAATGGGACTTGAATTGGGACAGCACCTCATTTTCTCAAGCTTTTTTGAAAACTTTTTTTTCTTTCTCTCTCTCTCTCTCTCTCTACAGCACTTTTTAAAGCAGAAAATGCTTTTGTTCAAATAAAGACCTTCAGCCTTTCTTGCAACCTAGCTGCTTTTTTATTTATTTATTTTCAAGCCAAACGCAGCAGGAAAGGTAGCAATTACGTTCGTCTGGTCAAGTGGCTGGTTTAAGCCACTTGCTGTTGTTTCTGGTGCTGATTTTTTGGGTTGGCCAGTGGCTGCTCTGGCACCATCTGTACGAGACCCCTTGGGTTTGAGGCAGTTTGTGGATGGGCCATATAATTTATAATTAATTTATATATAATGTAAAAATAAAGCTGAGGCTTTTGCCCAGGCAAAGGCTATGGGGGGTAGCACATATATCTTGGGGTGTCCCTGGCAGCTGCTGTATACGTAGATATAGGCTCTGTGTGTGTGTGTATATCATGCAGCGTATATTCATGTGGTAGCTGCATGTATATACACAGGGTCTTCATAAAGTCCATGTGCACTTTTAAACTTTAATAACAGGGTGTGCACTTCAGGGATGTATGTTTGAAACGCGTGGGTGTTTTTCTGGTGGCGGGGGAACCGGTTTGGTGCCGTTCCTGAGGAGGACATTGGTGCCAGAGCTGTCCCTCAGCCAGAGCCAGGGCCGGCGTCTCGGCTCAAACCATTTCCCTTGAAGGGAAATGTGGGGAAAGCAGCTCATTTGAATCAAACATCCAGGTATGATTTCTTAGAGGGAGCAGAGGGTGAACTGCTTTTAAACCCTCATGTTACCTAATGCAATAATTACTTGGGGAAAACCTGAATGATGTTGCCAGCTTCAGAATGGTATGGTCTGCTCGCCCCCCAGGGGCATGGCGGCGCCAGCGCATCCTTAGAGGCTCCTGCCCCATTTTTTCCCCACTGTTTTGCTTTCTCCTTGCTGCCCCAACATTTTAGTGATGATGTTTCATCAGGAAATGTCAGCTTCCAGCCCTGTCCTCTCAATTTGTGCACATTCACCTGCCTTTTAGAAAATGGTGGCTGCCCTGTGACGGCTCACTGTTCAAACCCATTGGGCAGCCTCTTCCTGCCCGGTTCTGAAAAATCCTGGTGTGGTGCCCCGTGGGCCTGCGTTGGTAGGGGCTGAGACCACGAGGGGCCCCCTGCTTTGTGCCTCATGTCAAGCTCATGGCCATAGTGTTGTTTAACTCCCAGTCAGCATGGATGGGTGCCTAAAAAGCTACTTCAGGGATGAGGAGCTGCTGGGGTCGGGCCCAAGTCCCAATAGCGGCCCCAGAGGAAAGCTGGGTTGTGTTCCCACTATGCACGTTATATATATAAAAATAACCAATGCTGGCACCTGTGGCAGAGGGGAAAGGGCCTGTAAACACCATAGGATCTAAAGGTTGCAGAGTTTGAAGCTAAGTGTTAGATACTGATGTGCTGTATGACTAAACGTTAGTTCGGTGCACAGACTGGCGCGGGCGCATATAAAAATCCTCTATCGGCTTTTGGGTGACTGCCATGGAGGTGGGCTAAGTCCCCAACATAAACCATACACGTGACCTGGATACAGCTGTTTTAATAATGATCCATTTTACCTTGAAACTCAGAGTCATAAATGACTTGCCCAAGTTCACCGTGTCAATCTGGGTGGTTAAATACTGGGGGTCTGAATCCCCACCCCTTCGGGTATAGCCGCTACATCGATTCTCTTCCCAGAGCTGGGAATAGCACGGGCATCCTGGCTCCCAGTCACCTTTAATCTAATATTTCAGTGTTCGTGCAGGTCCAATCTGTATGGGCACAGACAGTGCCATTGTGCATTGGCAGAAGTAAAAACCCAGTGGAGGATGTGCCTTGTCAAACAGGGCAGCTGTGCAGTGAAGTTGGATGCCCCATCCCCGTAATTCCCTGAGAACTGAAAGCCTATCTGCTTTGGCCATCCCGGCTTGAACATTTGCTTTGCTTCCTAGGTTTGCTGTGGGAAGTGGCAGATTCCTTTCCACCAGTGGGTATTTAATTTGGAGTCGAGACTTCTGCTGCTGACTCCATCGAAATGGCCGTGTGCGAGGACACCCTGCTGTGCAATTACCGCAAGTGTCGTGTCAAGCTCTCTGGCTACGCTTGGGTCACAGCTTGCTCGCACATCTTTTGTGACCAGCACGGTAGTGGGGAGTTCAGTCGTTCACCAGCAGTCTGTCCTGCCTGCAACAGCACCCTTTCTGGCAAGCTAGACATTGTCCGCACTGAGCTGAGTCCCTCTGAGGAATACAAGGCCATGGTGTTGGCCGGCCTGCGGCCAGAGATTGTCTTGGACATCAGTTCTCGTGCGTTGACCTTCTGGACATACCAGGTAAAACCAGCTCAGATGAGACTTAATGCGGTTCCCTACAATGGGCAGATGCCTTAAGACTTGCCTTCTGAAACATAAATTGGGAAATGATTTTTCTGCTAGATTGGTGCAAAACCCAGAAATCAATTTTCAAATGTTTGAATGGAGAGCAGAGTTTTAATACCCAGGTAACTGCAAGTTGTTGGGACTGCTGTTACTGTCAGGCCATCTGATGAACCTCCATCCGAGATTTTTGGCTTGAGCACTGAGGAAAATAAAGCCAAGCAGCAGCGGGGATGGAACAAGATTAAAGAATCCCATTGTTTTATTTTATTTTGTTTTGTTGTGCGGCAGGGCATTGCCACTCAGCCTCTGTTGTCAAAAGCATCGCTTTGTGGCACTGCGTTCTTTCTTCCTTTTCTCCTCCATCTGTCCATTTTTGCTCTCTCGTTCATTCCCCTCCGTTCTGTCACTGTCTAAGTTTCTTTCCCTCTTTGCTTATTGTCTCTGTTGCACATTTTTTACTCTCAGGTTTGTTTTTGCCTTTCCCCATATGACCATAGTATCTAAACACCTCATTAACGTTGACGAATTATCTTCACAAGCCTGCAGAAGGGAGCATTGCCGTCTTCATTTTACAGAGCTAGTATTTTCAAGCGTCCCTTAAATTTTAAGTGCCCCACATTGTGGGAATTCAACATAAGGACACAATCTTCAGTTATTCTGGGAACCTGTGGCTCTTATCAACTTCAGCTTGACAGTCTGCACACAATTAGTTGCCACTCTTGAAAGTACTGGTCTGACTGACGTGCCCAAACTTGCTGGGACAGAGATGGGAATTGAACCTGCCGTCGTGCCTGCACTCAAGACCGTCTTTCTTTCGTTGCACTGGAGTCATGCCCCTATATCTAAAGTGAATTGTTTTGAATGTCCTATGGCAAACAATGGTTGCAGAAGCCCTTCATGCATATTTTTTTTGCCCATGGCAGGTTCACCAGGAGCGCCTGTATCAGGAATATACCTACAGTAAGGTTGAGGGCCACCTGAAGCAGATGGAGAAGGTGTATACCCAGCAGCTGCAGAGCAAGGATGTGGAGCTGACCTCCATGAAGAGTGAGGTCTCCTCCCTGAAGAAGGTATTAGAAGAGTACAAGAAGAAATTCAGTGACCTCTCTGAGAAGCTCATGGAGCGCAACCGCCAGTACCAGAAGCTCCAAGGCCTTTATGACAGCCTCCGTCTGCGCAACATTGCGGTGGCTAATCAGGAGGCTGCCTATGAGCCACTCATGATGCCTCAGCCTGCCATCTTTGGCTTCCCATTGAATAAGGGTGAGGCCTGTGGGAGATGTTTTTAATTCAGTTATTCACCAGAGCGGATATAATGTTGACATCTGAAGTGAAAGGGGACACCTTCACCTTCATCCTCGAGCTGGAGGAGAAATGTTACTGGTGGTTTCTCTGGGTGTGCACAGGGTGGGAGAGGTGAAGGTTGCCAAACTGGTTCTTGCTGGAGACTGGAAAATGCTTGCTCCCATGTAACAGGTTGTTGAGATAGTTGTCGACATTATCAACCTCCCTTATACTAACTAGCCTCCTTCCTTAGCAGTGTCAGTAGGGAGAATAAAGACTAAAAGAACCTGAGATCCTTTATTCTCCCTTGGTCAGGATTTCTCCAGAACATGGGTTGATTAATGTCCTGAATCCCACAGCATTGAATATCTTTTGTAATTTCTCCAGCTGTGGCTAGTCATCTGGAGTTGCCAATTCATGACTTCACTGTGAATCAGTGTTTCTGAAAGCCACAGCTCCTGGGATTCAGCGATTATGGGATTAAAGAAAAATAAGAGTAAAGTTTTAGTATCTCTGGCTGTAGAGGAAGATGGACTATGTAGCAAATAAAGGCTCCAGAACAAAGAAAGAAATCTTGGCAATTTTCAGAATGCGACTCATGAGTTTTAAAAGATTGAGGCTGGCTTAAGCATTGGTATTTCTCTGCAGTTGGTTCCCTCATAGAAAAGGTTATGAATTCAGGCTAGTGAATTTAGGACAAAGGGAGGCCCATAAATGTCATCGTTTCCCATGACAAATCCCTACCTTTATTTCTTTTGCTCACGCAGTAGTCATTCACTGTTTTGGCTCTTGCTTTGTCACAACACTAAGGTCCCTCAGGATTGTGAAGCCAGTCTTCTTCTGACCCTGTACATCTCCCCCTTCCTAGGTAATGCAGGCAGGCTCCCTGGGGAAATCACACCAGTCCGGGGCAGGTGCGGTGAAGGAGACTTCCACTTCAAGCCCTTCTTTGCCACGTCCCCTCCTGCAGGCGAACCTGGCAACAGCTTCTTCGCTTTTGCTTCTCCTACCAATGAGCTGGAGTCACATCCTGGAGCCAGCCGGGCCTTCAAGATGAAGCGGATGTAACTGGCAATGTTCTGCCTCTGAGAAAATTAGCTCATCCAGTGCTGGGGAAAGCAGAAATGCTCATTGTCTAGGGCTGGCATATTTATTTTAGGAATTGCAATGCCCTGCCACACTGCATGTTGTCGGCAAATTGTCACTCAGGCTGTAATGCCATGTCTCGACTGATTAATATCTTCTGCTGGTAAACATCTCTCCCTCATCGGTGTCCCCCTCAGCTTGTAAAATTGATTCGCTTTCAGGCTGTAGGAGGTCATTCAATTATTCACACAATTAATCACACACTGATTATTTTTGGCCAGCTGCATGCATATCTGAGAGAGAGAATGTACTTGTGTGTTTGTCTAAATGCGGGTGCAGATATGTGAGGTTGTATGTATTAGGGTGTGGATGGGGGAGAGGGAATGTAAATCTGTGCCTGAGTTTGCTTGTGCAGGTGTGTAAGTCTACACAGGTGTGTGTTATCTGCATATAGGAAATCAATGTGTGTTTCAACCCGTCTGCACTTTGGCTTGTCACATAAATATACACAATATTGAATCTGTGGCTGTGTGCTATATGGTTATTTGCAAGTGAGGATATTTATTATCTCAAGGTGTGGGCATGCACATTATGATATGCAATGGGTGTACTTTTAAGTAAGCATGTTTCATATATAGTTGCACATAAAAAGTGTGTATTTCCTGATGTGGGCTTGTGTGTACATGTAGGTGCATGTTTGCTTTATATCTTTGCTTGTCTCCAAACCTGTGTGTGGGTTTCTCAGTGTGTTATCCAGTGTATGCAGATCTACTCTTCCAGGTACACCCCATCCTGTCTTTGCAGTACTTATGCTAGTTAATTTTCCCCCAATTAAAGTTCAGCTGTGCACTAATTTCACCCCTCGCTTTCACCAGGACTCATAATTCATAGAAGGAGCAACCAAAAGAGCGGGGCCTCTCTCACCCGTTGTATTCTTGTACTGTCTAAAGTGTCTTTCCTAAATAGATCATTTTTTTTTTCTCATAGATAGGATTACATTTTTTAAAAGGAAATAAAATGTTGATTTGTTGCCGTTTAATTTTCAGCGTATCATACATCGGGAGAAACGGAGAAGGGATTTCAGCAGCAGGGAGCACAGACTGGGGAGGGATCCTAGTAATGAGAAAATAGGTGGGTGGCATGGGGTGGGCATACATGAGAAAGAGGCAGCACAGGCAAGGTAGGAAATCTACCCTCTCCAGGATCTGCTGGATACAAATACTCCTGACCAGGAAGGCGGTGTCAGAGACAGTGAGCAAGCAGGCCAGGCACCACTTCCCCTCCATGCCCTTAGGTGTCCCTGTGGCTGCAGACTGGAGCCTCATCTCTCTGGCTGTGATGTAAGAGGAGGAAGAGGAGGAGGAACTGGGGCCAACATGGCAGAGGAGGAAGAAGAAACCCCCCCAGCCTTGCAAGCTGTGCAGGTAGCGGCATGGGGCGGCTGCGGGACTTATGCACCAGGCAGGCAGCACTGCTACTCCTGGGGGGTGTGCACCCACAGCAGGCAGGGGAGAGCAGGTCTTGCAGGCACACAGCAAGGGTTTTCCTGCCCTCCCTGGGTCCTGGCAGCAATGTGTGCAGTGCAGACCAGCAGGCACGGGCAGGGGCTGGAGGGGTGGGTACAGATTGCAAAGAGCTGGGGCTGAAAGCAACCCTGGTGCTGTCATTTCCAGAGTGGCTCTGCTGGGTGTGCTGCTTGTTGGGAGGGAGGGAGGAAGGGAGAAAAGGCGTGTTTGCACGCACAGCACAAGCCTCTCTGCTCCGGTACTCACTGTTGGCCTGGCTTTTCCACCACACATCCACTTTTGCTTTTACATTTACAAAAGCACTTGTCTTCCTTTATTACTGTGCAGCTTTTAGACTCCTTTAGTGTGCCTCCAGGAGTGATGCCTCATTCCCAGCTCATGTGTCACACCTCTGCACACTCCTCTTCCCCACACAGGGACTTGCATGCCTTCTAATTCCTCCCCCTGCAACCCCCCCTGGCTCTCATCACATTCCTGTGCCTTATACACAAATCTTTGTCATATTCCTACCCCCAGCTTTATGCTACTTTTTAATTTTACAGTCCCTGGCTTGTTAACCTCTCCATTTTACTATCTTTTCCTGACACCAGTTCCCCTTGCTCTCTCTCAGCAGTTCTGAGTTGGATTACTGCTGTGTGTCACTGCAGTGTCTGGCACAATGCTGGTGTTATAGGGTCTGTTTAGTACCTGTGCCAGGTGCTACATAGACTGAGGGGTCTTGATCTCTGTCTGGGTCTGTGCAGTGCTGCACAGCAGGGGTGTCCAACCTGCAGCATACATGCCACACGTTGCACAGGCAGCCTTGACTTGTGGCACATGACAGGTTGGAGAATGGCAGGAAGCAGAAAGTAGGACAGCAGAATGGGCAGGGAGCACAAGGAAGGGAGGAAAAAGAAGAGCAGCAGATTCAGCAGAGGAGTTGTACTCAGGGAGCGTGCAAGGCCAGTTTGTGGTACACCTGCCAAGAAGGTTGGTGCCTGCTGAACAGAATGGGAGTTGTGTTTTCAGTACTCGTTGGTACAGCACCTGGCACAATGAGGGCCATTGTCTTGGTTGGAGTATGCAGTGCTTGCCGTAACTGGAATCAGGTTAGGGCGCTGATCTTTGGTGAATACTGCTACATTACAAACAACTAATGATGGAAGTGACAGCGACGTGAATGTAATTCTTTGGGGCTGTCTTTCAGGTGGTGAGACTTGCATTTCTGACTTGCTGGTGAGACTTGCATACATCTGACTTGGATCAGATGTATCCACTGAGCACTTGTGCCACAGGTTGATATTTAACCCATGTTCAGGCCCTTCTATTAGGTGTTGTGCAGTTACAGGATGAGAGACGATTCATGCCCCAAACAGCAAAAAGCCACTGTTTTCATCTGTCTCAGACTAGGTGCCTTCTGGTTTTAAATGCTAAATGAATCATAGAATCATAGGGAAAAACAGGCTGGAAGGGACTTTAGGAGGTCTTCTAGTCCAACCCCCTGCTCAAGGCAGGATCATCCCTATCTAAATTATCCTGTACAAGTTTGCCTAACCTCAGGGTATCAAATATACAGCCCCTCTGGCTTGAACTACCAGGAGGCCAGGGAATTTGGGAACATGTCCTGCAGTGGGTTGGGTCTGCCGCAGAATGTGCACCTTGGTAGGCATTGCCCATAGTGACGTATGCAAGCAAGGGCTGTGCCTGCCACTTGCATTGCCTCTAGCACAGCAAGTGGTCAGCTGGCCTGTGACTGCTTGCCCTGCAGCTGCTGCCACTGTCTCAGTTACTGTTGTCACCGCCGCCACTGCAGTTGCGTCTGCTGTGGATGCTGCTACATATCCAGCCTGTAACAAGCCCTGCAGTCTGGATCTGGATCTGGGTCAGGGCATGGGGTGAGTCTGACACCTCTGGTCTAGCTTGCGTCCTGCATACTTAAGGGACCGCCTCCTCCATTATGCTCCTTCATGATTCCCAAGGACAGCTGAGAACGACCCATTGCAAGGACCACCTATGCCCCAAGTTCAGTTTGCTCAAATGTGGGAGGTAATTCTCAGTTGTTGCTCCTCAGCTCTGGAGCTCCCTCTCACCCACTGATCCTTTCAAAATCAGTTGTAAGACCACTTTATTTGGGCAGGCTTTTAGCAGGTGAGGTTAAGCTTAGGTAGTCTTTGGGGCATTATTTTACCTGTTTTATGCTTTTGTTGTTGTAAGCCACTCTGAGCCTTTTTGGGGAGGCCTGCATAGAAATCAAATCAATCGATCAGTCCTAAAAACCTCATCACACAACTCCCAGGCACATTACCCAGGAACACCAGAAACATGCTAAACTACCACATGTAAATCAGGGGGACAAGGACACTGACAGGGTCCTGCTAGCACAGAATAATTTGGTGACTTTTACTGGAACGTTATGGGTGCCCCTGACTTACTTAGATCCCTTGAAATTCCAAGCCAAAGTGACTTGCCTGAGATCTGCTGAGAAGACTGTGGCAGAGCTGGAATTTGAACGCAGGTCTCTTGAGTCCCCATCCAGGGCTTTGACCATATGGCTTTGGGTAGCCATGGGCTTCTGATGAGTAGATGTAGGTTGCTAGTGTTGTCCTTTCTCCCCGTCACGCCCCTTGTCTATCTGTCACTTGTCAATGAAGGATTTGGTTGACCGCCTCTACTATTTCCGGGATCACTACTTTGAGAGCCACAGTGTGGAAGACGCTGGGAAAAAGCAGAAGGATGTGTTGGAGGAAATGGAGAAGATGCTACAGCAGATGAAAGAGATAGAAGGTAACAGGGTAAAAGAAGGAAATGTGACTCTTCTTCTAAAGGGAAAGGCCCTATTGTCCTAGTGTTCACACCTCTGAGCCAACCTCTCACTTTGGACAGATTGGAGCCAGCACCCTCTGGACCAAAAAGGTCCTGAGCTGTATTTCCAATACCTCTGAGCCAGCCAATCTCCCAACCCTTGGGAGCTGGTTGATCCCTCTGCCCTGAGGCCTGATCAGAGTCGTGACCCAAGTTGTAACCTTTTTGTGAGTCAGTGTTGTATATACCCATAATGCTTTGTACTCATGCTAAGTTCTTCTCTTGACATATACCAGGAGTTAAACTGCCCTGGCCTCTGCAAAACGTACCACAGAGAAAGGGATTTATGTTCTCGTTGTACACCCGTGACCAGTAAAAATTATTTGTATGCCTGGAATTGTGGAATATTTATCTTTTGGATAAAAGCACACATGAACAAGCTAGTTCTGTTAGATTAGGAGCTGTTAACAGGCTGGCTTTAAAAGGGCTTGTGCAGAGTTACATCCTGAACTTACTCCATCACAATATGCTGCAGCACCTCAAAGACCAAGCCTAATAACACACCCTTTATATTGTTGATTGATTAAGATTCTTACCATCCTAACCAGTAAGCTAATCAGTTGCAGTGAATTGATCTTTCAAACTTTGATTGATAAATTAACTAATAATTACTGGTAACATATTGGCTTTTTTGTATTGTATTGATTTATTTTTTAATCAAATTCTTGGGCCTGGTTATCTGATGTTGTGGACTCTCTAAATCTCAGTGACTGATAGGCATTGTTTTTGTCTGTCGCAGTTGCTCCCCAGGATCGTGCTCAAATGCTGATGCTGAAGGGGAAGGCTTTGAACGTGACTCCCAGCTATAATCCCCAGGCTGAGGAGCTGTTGTCCAAGGCTGTCAAGCTTGACCCCAACCTGGTGGAGGCCTGGAATCAGCTGGGTGAGGCCTACTGGAAAAAGGGTGACATCACAGCTGCTCACACATGTTTCTCGGGAGCCCTTGGACATGTAAGTCCTACCCCTTGGGATATGACCATGAAGGGAGAAACCAGCTGAGCCAAGAGACTGGGTGCAGGTGTTTGGGTTAAGGGACTGATTTTGGAGGAGACTGGCGTGGCTGAGAAGAAGGAAGAGGAGGTTGTGCTAGGTTACTGACCCGTGATCCATGTTGCTCTGCCCTCACAGTGTAAAAACAAGGTTTCCCTACAGAATCTCTCTATGGTGCTACGGCAGCTGCGGGTAGAGAGTGTGGAGCAGCATGCCCAGAATGTTATGGACAGTGTCCGGCAGGCCAAGCTGGCTGTACAGATGGATGTGCGGGATGGTCGCTCTTGGTGTGAGTGTCATCCCCAGCATGCTTTTTAACTTCTTACCCTTCTCTTTAATTTGGGGGAGAATGATATACCCAGTTCTGTTTGACTGTCCAGCTCTCCGTCTATTGCAGCTGTGTCCATCCATGTTTCCATCTGTCCATTTCTTGTTATGTCTATCCCTCTCTTCTCTCCATCCATCCATAGCTGTTTAATCAGTGCACCTGTCTAGCCATCC